ACCGATACCAGCTGAATGTGAGTATCGTAGTGCTGTAAACTTGATACGTTTTTGTGACCAGTTATATTTATGATTGGTTGTAGTGGAATGCCGGCTTTCGTCAGGTTAATAATGAGTCCAACTTGAATTTTCGGTATATTTTCCATCCACAGAATAATATCGTCAGCCATTATCGAAGAGCAGACGCAAATTACGCACGTTGTTTATAAACAGAAAGTAGTTCCAGGAAATAGACGTGTTTACCAAATATGATAAACGGGGCCCGGGCGTGATATGGAAAATTATTGCACGGCTCGCGCATCGGAATTCCCATAGCATTACGAGGCCGGGCAATACGAGGTATATGATAATGTTTATTAGTCAATGCTACTTACCTAAACTATTTGGATACATAGATTGTAGAATATGTTACAATGTATTCATTACTATGATCTAGCTTTTGATAGTTATACCCATATGGTTGCTAGGCAACAAAGTGTCTGAAAAGATGTTGACTTTTTGCAAAATGTCTGCAAAATTGCTGACTTCTTGCAAAGTGGGAATCACAGGAAATAAGGGAACTGAGAGTAGAGATGAAAGCGCTAAGAAACTAAAATGACGATCATGAAAATCAGCTACGAAGAAACAACCTTGTGTTCAAAGAAATCGCCCAACATTCCCAATCTGAGTCGTGGGAAGAGACGGGAGCCATTGTAAAGACCATAATTAAAGAGAAACTGGACATCGCGGAAAATATTCCTTTTGAACGAATTCGCAGATGTTGACTTCTTGCAAAGTGCCTGCAAAGATGTTGACTTCGTGCAAAGTGCCTGTAAAGATGTTGACTTCGTGCAAAGTGCCTGTAAAGATGTTGACTTCTTGCAAAGTGCCTGTAAAGATGTTGACTTCTTGCAAAGTGCCTGTGAAGATGTTGACTTCTTGCAAAGTGCCTGTAAAGATGTTGACTTCGTGCAAAGTGTCTGCAAAGATGTTGACTTCTTGCAAAGTGCCTGTGAAGATGTTGACTTCTTGCAAAGTGCCTGTAAAGATGTTGACTTCGTGCAAATAAAGTGTCTGCAAAGAT